CATCATTGATTTGTCGAAGTGTTCAATAATGGGTTTCTTGAGAGTATATTTGTGTCCAGTTCAAATCAAATTCAGATATCTGGAAATGATTTTTGATTACAATAAAAAGAACAAAAGTTGATCAACCGGGACAAAAATAAATAGAGAAATATGCAGAGAAGCGAACTAAATACATCAATACACAATTAATAAGTAAATCAATGGTTATCGTATGTCTTCATGAACGGCTTCTAACTAAGTCTTCACAGAATGAAATCACTCACAAGATCGCCAGACACTCAGACCACATCACAAGGTTTTCAACTACCATTTTCGACATAACAATTTACCGATGGATATAGGAAACCTATGAATATTTCATGATAAAAACAGCTTAAAAYATTCATTGAAACTGTCATCYAGCAGACTTTCRAGTAGCCGAGCACCTGGAAATCCTCGCAAGAATGCTGTTAACGAATTCAAATGACAATTCGAAAAAATAATAGAAAAATACTCACATATATGCATGAAATATAACTATCGATAAAACGGAAAATGACTAAATGTAAAAGTTCAGAGGATTTTAAAAGTTCATTTCTTAAATCATTTACGTCAAACAAACCTCAAAATCTGAAATCAAAAATTAACATTAAAAATCTAAAAAAAAATTAAAAAATATTTGTACATATATTTAAGAGGAAACTGGCTCAATTAATAAACACAAAGATTTCTAAAAGTAATGAGGATATAAATGCTCGAATAACATAACGTCCGTGTATTGGCAGACATTACAAAGAGAAAGTGCGAGAACCGACAATATTGCATCAAACAGGTGTCAGAATTAACAAAAACTAAAATACTACAAAAGGACGAATATACTGAAGTAAAATATGGTATTTATCTAATTTTTGGCAGAGTATCACACTACATGAGATTTTTGATCGCACCTACTGATCATTTTCTAGTTAAAATGATAATAAATAAATCTAAAAGAGTAATTTATAAACCATACCTTACTTTGATTTGCTTTTCAAAATTACTCCGTAAAACGTAAGTAGCAACGAAATTGTACAGAGAAATCCTCAATGGACGCGATCTGAGCAGACCACGAGGCTGAATTACATGAGGTATGCTTTGCATAACAGATTTACCATATTCATGTTAGACGTGACACTTATCTCCAAGCTGATAGGTTCAAATACTTAGATCGAGACACAAACAAGTCATATTAATTGTTGAAGTACATCATAACAAAAATACGATTGAATGAAGTCTCTTAACAACAAAAGTTTGCCATCATGCATTTGAGCAAAAAAAGAAAAGGAGAGAAAAGTAAGGGAAAAAGGGAAAGCAATGAAATAAAAAGGAATAATGTGAAAAGAAGAGAATGTGAAGTTCAACAAACTAGTTGATTTATAAGAAAACGCCGTATAAAAGAAAACTTTCTTGGAATCAAACCAGTCAGCTGCTCAGAGTAAAACACCTGTTATGGAAACATGGCCCGTTTCCGTTCTCAAATAACAAAGAAACTTAAAAACGACATTCGTAATTCCATTTCCTTATCCCTCAAAAATCACGCATCATTTTAGACTGACTCATGTAAAAGCGACCACATTAGATGGAAAAGAACAAAGCAAAACACCGATGACAGCAGAACTACTGAGGGACTTCAAGGAACACGAAGCCTGTTGTTTTCCCGTCCAACTCTTTGTGACGTGACTAGTGTTAAAACGTTTTTAATTATTTTAACTTTTATGAGGTTCGATTTAAAAAATCCAAAGTGATTAATTAGTACGTACCTTTTGCTCAAGTTTCTCATTGTCACCATTTAATTCTCTGTTTTCATTTTCAAGTTTGATGATCTTTGCTTTGAGAGCGTCGACTTCCGTCTGTTTTATAAAAGACGATGTTGGTTTTGCTAATATGATTCAATATGCCTTTTTGTTCAGTTATGAGTAATTGTTGTAACGTGCTCACCGATTTCGATTTAAGTTCTTCTTCAGCTCGATGAACATTCAAGAGAGGAAGCACCTACAGACACAACATGCAAACATATCAAGGTTCACGAATCATCGATTTTATCCAATCTTAACTATCAGACATTTTCTTTGAATTATCAAACAATAGTCCCTCAAGTTAGACCAACTATAGGGCGACATAAAAATGGCTCCAATTTTTTTTATATATATTTTCGCGTATAAATGAATAGAAGAAAAAGAGTTTAACAACTCGTACGAGTTGTAACTAGTACCAATATAAAGAGTACCTTGGTATAGAGTCTCCACCATGGCCAGTTCCTAACAGCAGCAAACACACGCAGGTTCTTTTGAATGCAAAACATCGCACGATTTTGAACCTACGAAAAAAAGAATGTTTTTGTTTAGAAAGTGACTCTAAACCCAATAGTTGTATAAAATTCTGGTCAAATAGTTATATTTCCCATGCCTTTATATTCTTTATCCATATGATATTTTGTGTGTGTGACACATATCAAGAAACAACGTACTCAAAAGTAGTTCATTTTCTTATGAATGAAGTCATTACTTGTAATTTTTTGAATTTCCTTCGAGCCAAGTATCCTCTACAAAGAGACTGCAATTCGACAATAGTCCCAGTGTTCTTTTCGTCACGGGCATCTTCTAGCTGTGCGAGGGAACCGGCCCGGAAAAATATCTAAAGGAAAAAAAAACAGAAATGAAACACAAACGGTAAATCACTCAATCAATCAATTAGATCCATGAACTTACCTGACTTAAACCAAGTCGATAACTCCTTTTATCAAGGTCGAGATGTTCTAATAATGTCTCTACTCCCTGTTGCAAGACAATTACATGGTAACATGTTAAAATGGTAAAACCAGTACATCAGGAAAACAGCCTTCACTTCAAAAACATTACAATGGTCATCATAGGAAATATTTTGATGTCATGCAAGAATCTCAATCAATTTTCTGGGTCACGGCTTCAATTATCTGATCAATTATAGACAAGGGTCTAAAAATCAACATATCAACCAATATGCCTTCAAAATGGCAAAAACATATCAATAAGTTAACAAACAACGGTACCTTTTTCTCATCCAAGACTGGCCCGGTATTCCTACATTCTGTTGGTGCTAAGATATCGAATCGACGTCTGAATTCAGCAAAAGGCATGTGCTCGGGGTAGCCTGGAAAAGAAACGATTTTGTATGTAAGCAAGTGAAAAAGAAAACAAAATGATCAACATGGAAAACGAGAAGAAAAGAATAGACTTAAACAAAAACAACCATAGTTTATTCTCAACTATTGAGAATAAAAATGCGACCACAAAATGGGAGAAAGACAGGGATAGAAAAAAAAACCATGTCGAATTTACAGTACTCAAATATGAAGCAAACGGTAGCTATTCGGCTACGCATGCCTTTATTAGTAAATATGATAAAGACAAGCCTGCTAGTTCATGAAAGGTACGCATTATATTCGGCCTTAAATATGTCACGGAAAACAAGCGTCGTCTAATTCGATTAACAACTGCTGGTCTAGCTGAAATATATGCATAAGTACTCGTTGAAAGTACGGTGTTTGAACTAGAATACAAAGCCTATATGCAAACCCAACGAAAAGACAACATAGGGGAAATAAATAACATACTGCAGTAGGCAGTAGAAGTTTGAATGGTTGCTATTTAATGATGTATTTGTACTGTATTGTCTCGGCATGAAACAATAAAAGACACACAAGTAATGGAATGTTTGTACAAAGATATGAGTCTCATCATGCATTGGAAATGAAATTTTACTTTCAAATCTAACCTGGAACACTGAAAGTTTGCAATTTCGTTGCATGAACAACAACAATTACTCTTGCCTCAAACGATCCCCCAGCTTGAACACTGTAACCATTTATTCCCGGGATAACAGTTTTGTCTTCCATGTTGACGATTACAGTCATCGAAACAGAGACAGCAAGAATTTCATGCTCACTATATAAAATAAACCTCGTTTATACTGAGGCATCATGCTCAAAACAACAGTCTAGCTTTAACGATGCACTGGTAACCGCTGTGTTTGTATGGAGAGTACGGCAAAGTTTCTCAAACTAGATCGGTGCTCTCCCGCAGACTCAAATTACTTCAAGATATGTCGGTAAACACAAGACAAAACCGCAGAATAAACTCACAATCACTCAATCATGGCAGACTAAAGCGTGACGAAATAATTAGCATTTAAATAAAAGACCATTTCAACAAGTCCCAAGTCGCAAGTCTACTTRCCTAATGCTCTAGTAATTTCCTAATGTTTGCCAACAACACTGAGCTTTCTTTTTGTAATATATTTGTACATGAACAAGTTTTAGTTGTCTAGTTAAAATTCAAAAGAATTGCTTATAAAAAGTAGCAGTCATTAAGTTAATCCCTTTGTTTAGTTGATAATACCAGATCAGAATAGAGCTTAAAGCTCCTTATCAGATGATTGACAGATGATGGCAGGAACACAGGTAACCCGTGAAGAAAAAAAAATACCTTGTCTGTGAATTCGTATAGCATCCAGCATCTCAGCAGCTCGTAGCTGAAGTCTTGCCAGAGGAACATCCATTGACGTTAGGTCTTTTGCCTTTTCTTTGGATCCTTCACTAGCATCATAGATGACGGGCACAATAGTACGGACAAAATTCACTTTGGTTTTGCGAATCGCCTCGAGGATTGTATCCTGGTTGACATGAACAGTATAATCAATATACAGGAAAAACACAATATGTTGCGACTTCTTTTAGAAAAGGCGAGAGTAACTTCATTTTTGAGCAAAAGGATTATTGATAATCAATGTCGTAAGATTGATAAGAATGATGATGATGATGTTGTTGATGGCAATGATAGCTGCTGTGATAATAAACATCTAAAGAGTACTGATATCGAGTACACGATGCCTAGAGGTTTCATTATCGTTTTGAATAAGTGCCTGAGTGATTGAAGTAGGCGTCGGTGTCCCAAACAATTTACAATCATAGTTATTAAGTAAAACACAAAATAACCTGCGGTACGAGGTAAAATAGTCGGTGCTTTACTGCCGTTAGCCCACTATTATTGAAATATTCACGCTATATTCATGGTATCTATGTACATGGTACGTATACCTAAAGCGTTTTCAGCTTTATCTAGATGATTACCTTTCCGTGTGTAAAAGATAATTTTGACGCGGATAGGCCGCAGGTTTCCATGTTTTTTTCATTCAAATTGATTTTTGAAGAGTTTGACTTACCACTTGATAAATCAACTGAAGACATTGAGAATTCTTTTTGATGGCAGGTGATGGCGACATGGATGTCCTTTTAAAGCTTCTTGATCTAGAAATACTGCTGTCACCCGTATTACGGTTACTGAACATGTCTGCAATAGGAGGTCTGAAAACAAATGTGAACTATTAAATGGAATTCAGGATGGATGGGAAAGTGAAAGAGTTAAGAAAGAGATGGAATAAGGAAAAAGGGAAAGGAACAGAGAAATGAAAAAAATGGAAATGACGGTTGATTGAAAGAAAGACAACAGGAAACAAAGTCATATTACGAAGTTCAGATAGGCGGAGTGCCTTACTTGGAGGAATCTGAGAGAACACCCTTGGCTTGCTTGGATGTTGAGTGTTCTCTAGCCTGTTTTAACCATCCTTTAGCATTATACAATACTGGAATTGTCCCTTGACAATGGTTTACATAGAATGTATCCTTACGCGGCCCTTGCTTTACCCAAGATTGCTCTACAACAACAACAACAACAACAACAACAACAATGGTTGACAGAGATCGTTAATTTGAGTTAAACTACCAAAAAAAGAAATGCTAAGAGATACGACAGCGAGACAGTCGCAGCGTGGCTTGAAGAGGAACAGTCAATGGCGTCAAATTGATGAATGTAGCCATGCAGTGATCAATTAATCCTACCCTACTGTATAACCAGTACGTGGGTTTCTTTACAAATAATGCACTCGTCTAGGGTTTCGCATTGCCGTATTTCCAAMAAATGTAACTAGCGTGCTTGCAATGCAGGCTGGTAAATCTACTGGTCACTAATTATTRATTGGTAACATTGACTTACTGTCGCTACAGTGATGGACATACACTCGGGCTAAAAAGCTGCTATCATTGGCACCAGGGAAGATGGACTCCTCATCAAGAATCCATAAAAGACCTTTTTGTTCATTTTTAAGATCCAAAGTTGACCCCCTGGTCTAGATAATGGAATCACAATCTTTATTAATAATTTAGTAACATTTAATAATTTTGATTACAAGAGTGTAATGCAAGAGGAGATCGGTTAAAAAGTTCAAATAGAAGAGATCCACCATATATGGCAAACAAACGAAACATTTATATATGAATAAACAAAGTACTTACCAATCCTTGTACTGCCTTATCAAACACCCCGACTACAGGGTCAGGAGAAGTTGCATTACTCTCAAAACTGCATTCAATATTTTCCTGCGTAAAATAACAAATCATGTCAGTACTTGTGACATGGATAGAGGAACGTCCGTTGTATTTGATCTACTTTTGATCCAAAACTACAAGCCTTTTTTCGTCCTAATTTTCAATCACAAAGATATGATATCCAAAGTACCTAAAAATAGACTTACCTGTGCATATCTCTCCATTTGTGAAGTAAATACAGTGTGGTGGAAGAACTTTTGAAGTCGTTCAGTCTCGTAGTTATGACACAGATCTTCAAAGGTGGCGCCATGCTCCTTCTTGTAAGCAGTAGGATTTTGAAATCCCGGCGAGTCTAGTACATGAATAGTCGACACGCTACGTAAACCACACTGTAGTGATCGATTGATAATCTTCATGAGTGCAGACAGCGCTTCTTGGTAAAGACCGATAGCAAAGCCTTCAAGTGCTTCAATGTAACTAGATGCCGCACTCTTTGCTTGTCTCTCAGGAGTTGCCTCGGCAGATGAAGGAGGGCTCATCGAGTCACTAGATTTCTGTCTCATTCGAATAGTAAATTGATTGACAGGAGGAGGTGCAAAGATGATTTCTGTCAATTCTTCTTGGGTTGTTCCTAAGACTGCAGCAGCTCTTTGTACAGAAGCAGGGTTAGTGAAGTGTGGTTTGTTGTCTTGACCTGGTGGAAAGATAACAATTACATTATATATAATTACTGTCATTATCCAAGGGTGAATGTACACACTTTACTTATATTATTATTGATAAAGACATGTCCTTTAAGGAAAGATTGCGTTTCTTACCTATGTTGATACCAGAACCACCAAGATGATAAATAGCAGCTAAACAACTCCAAATAGACTTTGCTTCATCAACTGATATTCCAAGCATGTTTAAAGCAAACTCTATCTCTGTCCACTTGTTTGAGAGGCGTTGTGTTTCTGAGGGCTGAATAAAATGATTATTGATATAATATACAATACATTATAGATAATAACAATAAAACACTATGGCAAAACATTATCATATAAAAAAGCTGTAATGTGTATATTTGGATGATACTAACCAGAGGGTCAAAATCAGAAATAAAATCATTATGTTCACTGAGAGCTCTATCCAATTGAAGCTCCTTCCTATAAAATAGTAATAGATGACTAATTAGAATAGCATTATAAATTTAGCCTTGTACATTAAGGATTACAATATATATTATAGTGAGGACACTAACTATGAACACTTGACTCTACTTTATCTCAATAATTTGATTTTCTGAGTTCTTTCAACTGTTTGAAACTCTAAAAAAAGAGTTTTCTAAAAAAGTTGTAAAAAGGAACCAAGTGTTTATGGTTCAAGTGTTCTCACTGTGATACATGTACGACTGACTATCTAACTGCACTATTAGGGTTTTAGTGTTCTTACCGTAGTTTTGCATCACTGCCGGCCAATAGATACTTAAAGATGTGAAAGGGACCTTCTCCTTCAGGTTGACGTACAACTCTTGACTTCTCAAGAAGAAATGTCTGTAAAATAGGGGGAAAAGGAAAGTTTGATTAGAGAAGATTGACAAATGTCACATACCAAACCATCATAAAGTCAAATACTACATAATTATGCAACCACCAATGGACCCACCCGTACATTACTACAGTGTATATACAGTGTACTTTTGTTTGTGGTTTTTGACTTCAATTATTTGGTGCATAGAGCTTATACGATGTTGCTGCTTGCAAGTATTATGTCTACATTATACAAGTTATCAGGAAAGCTGAAGAACTACAAACATATTTTATCTCCACAGTTTTGCAAGTACCTGCAGGGTGCCACAAGTAATTAAACCAGCTGAATCAAAGTCCAGGCTCACAAGCAAGGTTAGCTTTGATGCATTTTTGTTCAGTTTGTTTGGTGCATTGCCAAATGCTTCAAGTAAGGCAAAGATACCTTCAAACTTTTGATCTGCAAAACAGGAATCATTAACAAAATGTAAGACAATTTGAATATAGAAATGAAACAAGGGATGACTTAGAAATCAGAGATTTTATTTTTCTCTGAGCATGGTTTCCAAAGATTGAAGTAGCTTTACAAACATCTTCACATGAAAACCCCTTCTGCAACTAACTCAGAAACTTATTATCTTCATGCGTATCTTGATGAATGAATGAATTACTAATTGAATGTAGTGAATGAAAGGATGGGATGAATGAAAGAAAAAGTGACTGACCTGTGACGGCCGAGTGATTGGAAGCAGCTGTAACAGACAAGTAGTGAAGAATGTGTTTTGCACAAGTTGTCTTTCCTGAACCACTTGCACCCATCATGACGATTGATTGGTCCAGTCTTGCTGCAAGCATGTTACGATATGCTGTCTGTGCTGCGGCAAAGATGTGTGGAGGCATGTCCTCTTGTTTACAACCACGAAACATTTGGATAACCTGACAATAAATAAAACTCTTTTTACTGAATGGACTAGGTACATTATTCAAAACAAACCACTCAGAAACATTGTTACCAAATGACAGCCCTTCAATGGTAAGAAATAAAAATGTTTATGGTAATAAGATAATAACCTCAAGAATAGAAATTATAATCTCAAAACATAATTTCTGTTAAGTCAAACTTTTCCATTTTCTAGTGGTATACATACTTTGTCTGTGTAAATAGCCAGGTTTTGGTTGGGGTTAACAACAATTAGGTTTGGACCTGCATAGGTATGGATAAGATTACTTCCATGTCGTTGACGAAGTGTATGCAGACAACTTGACTCATTGAGATAGCGGAGTGAAGCCAGGTCTTCAGCTCGGTCATATTGAGGTGGATTGGCCTGGAGAAAAATCAAGCAGTTTCTAAATATCAATGCAGTGAGTCTTGATGAAGAAAAAACAGGTAATGCTTAAGATAAGACTTGTAATCTGACCTTTTCAATACTCTCTTCTTCTATAGTGATAACCTCTCCACCATGATCTAACTTCACTTTACACATGGGTGTTTCATCTTCCTCTTGTTCAGCAGATTTGATTCTCTGGACTCTTCCTCCTGAAAACCCTGCTTTATGAACCACCCACACCTTCTCTGCATCTTGCCAGGCTTTTTGAGATGCTGTTTCCTCTGCTGACTTGGGCTGAGAAAACAATTACATCATTCAGTGCTAAAGCTTTGATTTTATATCTTTGACGTTTTATTAACAGCTTGTATACTGTCCAGTGACTAAATTGGTAAAATTGCAGACAAGGTAAATGGCTTGATTATACTATTCTTTAATAATGCACAAATCATGGTGACAAAAATGTAATTAGATTAACAGAACTAAAGACTTGTAAAGACTTGTTTTGTAATTGTAATGGTTAAAATGAGAATCAAAAAACACTGTCATTAACTACAACAAAATGGGATGCAAAAAGAAAATTATTTTAAGGAATAATTCAATTTTACGGTTTTGTTTGATTATTTAAAAAGTGTCTATAATATAACTTATTTTACAACAGACACACAGGATATTTTCAATTTAAAAATACTTGAAACCAACCTCCTGTTCTTGATGAACATAATATATTACTTCCATCATAAATAATCAGAATTGAAGCCTAACGCTGTTACTCTGTTACACCTGACTCATATTATAAAACCTTGAAAACGTCACATACAATATACTATGCTTTATCTCCCTTAAAATAAAAAATCTTGAGTCACTAAGACAAGTAGTTGTAGGTTATAAAATACATTGCCATCAAAACAGAACATTAGAAACACAGAACCATACTTGTTGTACATCAAAAGAGGGTAGATCATGTTTCAGTAAGGTTGACCTATGGCTTTATTGTGACAGTTATTTTAATGAAGTTAATTGAATAACAACAAAAATAAGTCAATAACACCATCCTATAACAGTTACTGCATTCTCTTTCAAAGATTATTAATTGAATATAACTTCAGTCCAAGATTTATGTGTGCACAACAGTTTGACATTTCTGTCAAGAAGATTGTGAAAACATTAAAAACAAATTTAAAAGGACAAGACATTTTATGAAGCCTATGGATGTAAGTCGTAGTATTTTCTTTTGCTTTTTTTTTGTTTTTTTGTTTTTTTCATTTTTAAGACAACTAAGTTTAAGTTATTTGTAATTCAAACATCACATAACCATCATTTTAGCATTTAAAGAATTGAATAAAATTCATGAAGAAGAATCTGTAGCCAAAACATGATCTCTTATACTACATGTATACGATAAATAATTCACACAACTTGGAACAGAATACTACAGAACGCAATGTTAAGAATTAGCAACACATGTATCAATCATAAAAATGTCTTTTCCAGTGTTTAAATATGTCCCTTTTTCAAGGTTAATTTAAGCAAAGTGTTTGTTAATATTATCCAGACATGCATCTTTCTTAACTTCCCGATACCTGCAGACATCACCCTGCAGTCTCCATTTACATAAATAACAGACAGGTACATGTACCTTAGTGACTAAGAAAAGATTATCCATTAAATACTAAATGAACACTACTTGATAGAAGGGCTTTATGGAGTATTATAAAACCACAAGTCCTACATGTATCTCACAAAAAAACATGGTTTTTAAATATGATTGTAATATCATTTATGGGTCCATAGAAGCAAACAGACAAAAAAGAAAAAAAGAAATATTTCACAACATTTTATTGGCATTAATTCCCTTCATGTGCATTTTAGCTTATCATGTATGTAGTGCTATAATTTCTGCTTTTTTGAGCAGTATCTCTCCAGGGAATTCACAAAAACAGAGTAAAATCACATGAAGATGAAGTATTTTAATTATAGAATTGTAAGTTTGTTAAAGATTTAAGCCATGTGCTTTACAACTAATATTATGACTGCACTGGTTTGTGCATTAATCATTGATGGAAATGTGTCTTACATGAAAGAAAGTCATTTCATTATAAAAGAAATGTAATAAAAGTCTATCTCCCATCTCCACTGAGCAAAATGACTTTACTAATTTTTGCGAGGCTTTAATTTTGATATTTTGTGATTTCAAAACCTCCCAAAAAAAGAATCCACGAAAATTATACACGAGAAATGTAATACACTTATATAACTCCTTTGATCATTTCACTTCTTTATATTAAAATCTTGATTGTAAATCGTTTATTGTTTAAGTAATCATTCAATAAAAAAGGATTTTGAAGTCTGTCTGTCCACCTGTTTTTCAATTTTTGCAAAATTAAATGCACTGAATTTATCGTTTTTTTTTAAATTGCGAAAATTAATGCTCTCAAAATATTTGTGTTCCAAATTCGCGAAAAATAAGTACGAATAAGGAACAGGTAATGTAAATATCATATAAGACAAAGTGATAAAAAAACATATTTCAATTATAAGTTCACTCTTTACTGTCTCCAAATAAGCTTGTTTTACTTTTGCAAAGTTTATCCACAAGTGACAATTTATTTTCATTGTTCATGGTGATGGTGAATTAATATTATTATGCTACACATTGTTTATATTTGATTGCAATTTAAAGAATGCAAATAATGTTTTTATTTTTTCAGATTAATAGGAAACATTTACAAATTTGTGCTATGACAGGTCTGTCAGTAACATGCATTAGGATCTTCTTATCTTGAATTGCAAATTCAATGAATGCCATGCAAAAAGAGGGCAATGGTCAGATCTTTCTAGATTGAGAGCATGTTTTCAATACTTCAAAATAACTTAGAAATAGCTCTTACAGTATTGTTCACGAATATTTAACAATGAACACTAATAAAACTATCCTTTAGTAGAAACTATATCTACTAGCATATGCTCCACCTGATAAACTTGGCCTGGTAAATGTTTACTATAACTGACTAAATGAATTGTGATGACAAGTATATCTTAGATGTGAATGATTTGATACTAATTCAAAAGGTTATTATCAGCAGGCAATAGTCTTATATTGCCACCTAAAGATTGAACAGTTTTCTCCTTTTTGCATTATAACAAGATAACATGAAAAAACCCTGACAACACAGACATGTCATTTTTTACTTATTGACAATGATACCTGTGCATATTTGATGCGTTGTGCTTGAAATAGTGTTTTTTGGCAAACTATGTTTTGTKTMTTTAATTTTTTGTCAACCAGTTGTTATTTGTTCCAATATTTACACAGGTCCTACATGAAAGAATACTATTAAGTAACAATTCATCTTAACATGTATACAAGTCTTTTGATATCAGCAACCAATTAAGGTTTTTGGAAAAAACTGATACATGTATAGGAGATTTATCATAAATTGTAATTGGTAATCGATAAGATTAAGATCTGAAAAGTGAAATGCTGAATATTATTTGGCCAATCTATAAATTACTAGGGCTTTGTCAATCATTTTGTCATGCTAATTCAAAAGCAGTACTTATAAATGAGAATACTCTTAGCTTATTGAAAACCATTACAAAGCATGTTTTGTTGTCAACGGATATCGAAAACAAAAGGACTGAATTTGATATAAGATAAATCTATGAGCTTTAGATGGCTGGCCGAAATAGTTGTGATATTTTAACATACATTTACTTAAAAATCATGTATTTTTTTCAATGAAAGGAAACCAAGTATCAAGACTGGTAGAGTGTAAAAATTCACACACAAAATGCAAATATTTCTACAACAATTGTATAAAACTATTCAAAATATTCCTAACACAGGTGACGTTCATTGAAGAACATGTCAAAACATTCCTATCAATAGCATGCTGTAGAACAGAGTTGTAAGAGGTTATACATGTACTTAGAGGTCATGAGCTTTTTTGTAAAACTATGTATAGAAATGAGTAAGTGATATAAAATGTATAACCCTTGCCAAAATTTTTGTAATGATGATTACCATCAGAGAAATCAAACCTTGCAATTTAATAGCAATGCAGTTTTAATTATGTCAGGAATGTAGAATAAAATGACAAAAGCTTGGTCATATTGTTTAACAAAGAGTTTTTGCACATGTCAACATTGTAGTATTGACAATAAAAATACTTCTATGTCATCACTAGATTAACGTTTTGCTTGGGTTACAAGATCAAAAAAAAGTCTAAATGTTTGTGGTTCCATTATTGTAATCTATAATTAATGCAAACGAGAATGAAGACTTCATARATCAGAAAAATTTATAAATTGTATTGACTATTCTCAGTTGGAGACGAGTTTGGCAAAGTTTCAARATCAGGAACCAAATAGGTTGGACATTATGTAATAGAAATGTGGTTGGCTCTTTTAGCTTCCTTGGATTTCGTGTAGCCAGTGAAGCATGAAGGACAATAATATCTATGCAATGGGACTAATAATGTTCTCACATTATAAATACCATTCATACATTAATGATATGAAATAAAAGTGATAAAGATAACAATCTTGCGATCCCAGATAATTACTGAAATACAATAATATACTTTATGCGAAATCTACTATTAGAAAAAGGATTTCGTAACATTTGTCAATGCCACGATAATTAGTGAAATTGACACATGCATTGCAAGCATTAAAAACACTATGCGGTTGATTTCTTCTAACGGTTTGGACACCACAATATACCGCGTTTCAGAGGCCTTTATAAGGTTATCAATAGAAAARATACCTTTTTCTTCATGCGCTTGCTACCACTTCGTTGTAATGTGCCAGCCTTGAGATTCGATTCATCTAGTTGTACAGACGATCCATCAAGTCCACTACGAACGCTAAGCTCTGAGAGTTCTGATACTGGCACAACTTTTATGACAACCTCATTGCCCGACATTGCAATCATCTCAATAATCTTTTCTCTATCTACGTCTTCCACATTGACTCCATTCACCTCTATAAGTCGATCRCCAGGAAGTATTCCTGTTGCAGTATTTGGRCCAACCGGCTCTACAAAATGAACTGTTTTGTCATTGCCACTTTCTGTACCTCTACGCAATGCAAAGCCYAAATCTCCACTCATACGACGTTGTATCTTGATAACCCTAGGTATTCCAGGAGAAGCAGGCACAACCTCTGGAAGAGTAAGATCCACTCCTAGATCTTCAAATGACTTTTCTGTAGGAGAAGTAATGTCGATTGTGATGTCAGGGCTGGCGGTTTCCAAAGGAGATGAGGAATCAATCTTGATAGGTTTTTCTTCCATACTTGCATCCATAAAATCTTCATAAGGACTAGAATAACTATTACTTACTGAAGAGACTGTGACTATTTCTCGTGGTTCGTTGGCCATATATGAGGTCTTATTCACTCCTGAGTTGACAAGCCTAAACTCGACAACTCCTGTGTCGTCAGGTTTAACGACTCTTGGAGGTTTTGGCGGACCTATTGGATCTTGCTTATCCCTATTTGGGGTCCCAGACAGGGCAATAGTGCGCCCACCAGAATGTAAAGACTTTGTTTTATGTTCATGATCATTCCTTTCTGYTCTATAACTGCGCTCTGCAGGATAAGGCCTATCACGGTCACTGTCACTTCTGTGTCTTTGATCACCATTCATCGAGTCAGTGCTATTGCTAGACAGCTTTATCTCAACACTTGAAGTTTTCTTCCTCCTTGGAGCTGGTACAGGCTCTGAATTTCGGTCAATTCTCTCTGAATAAGCCCCACTGTAATTAGAATCAACGTAATCTTCTCGAGTACTTGCAGCAGAGCCATGTTTCGTATCACCATCGCTACTCGAGTAGCTCTGCCTAACATCATATCCTGTTTCGTTGGAAACAGGACGATTTTCTTCATCAAATTCATGATCAACATCATATTTTCTCTTTCTAAAGCTAAATCTTGTACCCTTTTTGTCGTCTAAATCCCCAGTCGATCCTGCAACGATGTCTCCGATGATAGTTGGATCAGCTTGTTTTTTGTCATGAGCATGTTTACGACCCTCCTTCTCTGCTTTTTCCCTTTTTCTCCTTTCGCGCTTTTCTTCTTTGCTCTCAGCTTTATCACGGTCCTTCTTCTTGAAAGAAAACATATTATATTAGACCCCGTTGTTGGAGAAATTGTCGGGATCGCGTTAGTTTACTCTCGCAACTAACAAATGGCCGCCAAATTTTTAATTCATGAACGACTTCTTCGAGTTATCACGTGATAACAAATCAACCCGTGTCTACCCCGCTAGGGCTTTTGTCAACAAAACTTACCTTTCTTTTTATCGAGGGGAATTTAAACGCCAACATATTTCATTTGTAGAGAGAATTGATCAGACTGCCATCTTGGAGTTGAACGACATTGGCCTTGTTCTTAGTAAATACAATAGGCATTACCCGAGWTTGACCGCACTCGATCGACCTCGTGCATTGCGTGACATCAAGAATTTTCTGGTATAAACGAAGCCGTGTTAAAAACGTCGAAAAACCMATATTTACMGTTAGMAACTTTCTGATAATTTCTTGGTGTGCAAGACCAATGAACTAGAATGTGGAGAGYTAATCCTAATTAACTGTCTTTTGGCTACAGTATCGCCACTTCATAAGCTCTCAATGAAAGACTTCGTACACGATCCCAGCCCAGGGCAGACTGTCGAGACGCTGTTATCTTTTCCTGATACTATAAAAATATCAAAAGAAACCGAAAATATTCGCACTCACAGCGGTTTCTTGTAGTCCAATACGGAGCTATGAGGGTCTATTTCGTAAGTCCAGTGAGTATTTTGATGCTGGAATGTTGACAGTCACGCCTTGATGTGCTTCACTAGTCTCGAGCTTGTCAAGAATCTATCATTGGCTAGCGTAAAATTCTTTCTTTGTATCTGTACTCAGCGGTCGGAAAACTTCTCGTGTAAGCATGCATGGWGGAGATACGTAAACMTATCGATCTGCAGAATCCATTAAACGTCTCRCATGTTACTAMTACTAATATTTTTGACCCGTAGGCCGTATAATTTTTAATGCCAGCAGGAGGGCTTTTTAAGATACTTTTCACTAATTTCCATTGTTAAGATTCCTCACGCTAGACAGAACTTATAAACAAAAATGCTGAAAATGAAAACATATGACTTATTTATTTCTTTTGGCTTGCCTTTGCCTTTCTAAAGTGATYCCGATSCAACATTCAGTGAGAGTCTGAAGGTTTGATCGACTCCGACTGGTTTGTTGTACCTTGGAGAATAGCATGGCTACTTTACAATGTGGCGGTCCCATATAGTGTGGTACGCAAGTACGTCAGCGCATGCCTAATTCCGGTACGAATGTCTCGTAAAATGTGTGAGAAAAAAAATCGATTTCGACTGTCGTATTTTGCTTCTTTGCGGCAGAGTTTCGGTCTACTAAACTCTGTTTGCGGCCCTTCTTTCGTCTTAACCCGCTACATGACGTCGCAAGTTAGTATTATTCGCGAGTTCGAGGAGTCACACAAAAGTAGGAGTATGCACAGAGGTGGGGCATGCGTAGGGTGTTCAGTTATGAGCCTTACTGTTSTACGTGCAGTTGGTAGGGGTACGAACAGCTAGAGAGGTAGTCGCAGGGAGTTAGAGACATGCACAGGGAAGTAGGTGCATACAGACAGGTAGAGACATGCGTAAGGAGTAGGTAGGGGCATACAGGGAGGTAGAGACATGCGTAGGGAAGTAGGTCCATATAGGGAGGTAGGAGTATGTGCAGGGAGGTAGAGACATGCACAAGGAAGTAGAGACATGTGAGGTAGAGGTAGAGACATGCGTAGGGAGGTAGGMAGGGAGGGAGGTAGAGACATGCGTAGGGAMGTAGGTAGGSWGGGAGGTAGAGACATGCGTAGGGAGGTAGGAGCATACAGGGGGTAGAAATAACTGATTTCATCCAATGGGAAAGTAAGCCTTAAACTGCTGGACCAGTATAAACGAACAATATTCTACGGTATCCGGTGAAAACAAGTTACAGAATGCTCACACAGTGAAAAAACGTCAGGGAAACAACAATAATTTTCTGATAAATTTCTGTGCTTAATCTGCTATTACTGTACTACAACAACAACAACACCAGCAACATACTATTTCTGTTATAAACAATTTATTCGTCCTTGTACACCAGCTGCAAGAGCAGGGGGGACTTTGCAGTCCATTTTTCTTTCTAGGTCGTGTGCTTTTAGACGCTTCGTTGATAAACAATTTCCTTCTCTGCGATATATATTACTGTCAGCTARGCCAGGTTTTTACTTTTTTTCACGTTTAAAGAATGCAAAGAACGAAGAATCTCTACATTCAGTCTTTTTTGTTTTCCTCTTCATTCTTGTCATGCATATCAGTAGTTTTTGATGGCTGAAGAAATGCTGGAATATTCGTACTTGAAGAAACGTCGCTYTGCGCTTCAGCAGCGTGTTTTAAACGAGCAATTTTACTCTCCAATTTTTCCATTTTAAGTGCCGTCAGTTCTTTTTTAGGCTTACTTGGTGCAGGGAAACTACGCTCTATGACGGGGGAAGTTTTAGTTCGACTTGGAACTTCGGTCCCCACAGAAGAACTTTCCGAGGGGCTGACAATGGAATCAGCAATAGCTGGTGATTGCTCCTTTTCTTGAGTTAACGAAGAAGGGCGCGACTTTTCAAGAGAGTGTGACAAACCAAGCGAGCTCTCAGATGCTGGCTCGTGAAAAATGCCTATAGATTTCATTGGCGKAGATGACTGAGTTGGTTCAGTTGCGTCACTAGTGGTACTAGTACATATCAGAACACCCGCGGCTGTAGGAGCAGTGGTAGGAACCAACGTGTTTGTCAGTTGTTGACTAGCAATAACAGAAACGTTCAGGTTTGAAGCTGCAGTTGAAGCAGAAGAGATGGTATGACTTGTATCAGGTGTAAGTAAAGTTTGTGAGCCTGCTATACTAGCAGCGGTTGAGACTGGGGTTTTGAACGCTGTATGGCTTMCTGCAGGAGTAACTTGTACCTCTGTAGGTGCAACATTTGTCGAACTAGTAACTGATACATTTGAAACGCCAGCACTAGGTGCTGGGACATCAGGTAATACTTGACCTGCAGCTCTTGTAACTCGTGCTCTTGAGTCCTCTTCACTTGAACATTTCGCAGCTACAAGACTCGAAACTGCAATAGTGCTTGTACTTGGAACGTCGGGTAATACTTGACGTGCAGCACTTGGAACTCGTACTCTTGAGTCCTCTTCACTTGAAGATTTCGCAGCTACAAGACTCGAAACTGCAATAGTGCTTGTACTTGGAACTGGGGCGTCGGGTAATACTTGACTTGTGACTCGCACACTTGAAATGTCAACACTGGTAGAATTTGCCACTGGTGAATTCGAAGTTGCAACAGTAGTTGCACTAGGAATGGAGGCCTTTATCAATTCAAGGACAGTTGTTTTTGGGGCTTGTGTCTTTGAGGTGGTATCACTTTCAATAGTAATGAATGGGGCATTACTTGAAGCAGRAACTCCAGGAATAARAGAACTRGWAGCAGCTGGAGCGTTTGAYGAAACGATGCAACTYCRAGTAGACAACGAGGGCTTGGATTTTTCAGGYATATTTGCGGTAGTGATTTTCACGTTTGATTGTGTATTAGTCGTGGCACTCATGACTGGGGAATTTGACATTACAGTACTAACAGTTCTAGGATAATGTAATGCTGTATTACTAGTTGAGCTAATGATTGGTCCTTTTAACAATACATGGGTTGCTGCAGTGGTAGCTTGAAGCTTTGGAGTCGCTGCAAGGACGCTACGTGAACCTAGTACCTCGGACAACCCAAGGCTAACAGGGATCTTGGAAGGTGCAGTACTCATAGAAGTCGCAGCTGTTATGGGTTTTGATATTGTATCACTAGACGCTGTAGTTAAAGGACCACTTAACGTTGTGCTTGTAATAAGAAAGTCCTTCTTGACTGGATTACTAGTAGAGGTAGTATCTATTGAGGTTGCAGTACTGGGAGTAGTGGGGACTGGTGATGTTCTTACAACTAGAGTACTAGTAGTAGGAGGGACTTTATCACCAGATCTACTGGTAACAGGATCTTTTGAAGTTACAATACGGACAGATTGTGCTTGGGAAGCAGTAGGTAATGAGGTCATTGGTAGGTTACTTGCAGAAGTGATAGGAGGTACTTGATCACCAGTTACACCAGTAATGGAATCTTTTGAAGCGGTTACAATACGGACAGATTGTACTTGAGAAGCACTGGGGACTGATGTCTTAGGTAAGGTACTTATAGAAGTGATACCAGTAAAGGGATCTTTTGAGGTCACAATACGGATAGATGTTGATAGTGAAGTACAAGGGACTGAGGTCTTCGGTAATGTACTTATRAAACTTGTAGGTTGGCTTTTGGAGACTTCTTTGCTAACAGCTACAGTAACTGGGTTGCTGGAAGTCACACTTATTGAAGCGCTAGTGACAGAGGTCTTTGCACTTGTAGGAGGAACATTCAATTTGTCGATCTTAATAGTTAGTGGTAARAAATTACCGATTTTTGCACCTGAAACTGGATGRTTTAAAACCACTCGTGTTACTCCACCCMTTGGTTGAAGCATTACGRTTTCACTGTCATTTGCTGTTTTCGAAGAAATATCATCTTTTAAGRTCAATAGTCGTTTCTTGATATCCACACTTTTTAATAAATCCTCAGTACTAAGTCTTCCTTTTACATCTTTGCTTCGTGAGCTTGRTTCTTGTTGGTCAGCYGTGATCGAAGTGGGTGACTGTATGACGTCACTAGGTTGTTCTTGCATAATGARGTCATCGTTTTGACTGTCTAAGGATGACTCTACTGGCGTTTGTGGCGCAGTGGACACAGACGACGTCTAAACAATAAATAAGAAATCAATAAAACGAAATTTTGAATAGCTGTGTATACTCTGTAGTGTGATGAATATTCGTTATATACTAGAAAATCTGATTTCACTGATTTATCGTTTTATATAAAGATTAAGCAAACCTTTCAAAATTCATACAGTAACAATTTCATTGCAGTAAACGCTTTCCTCCTGAAGCAATCGTCATTGTATTTACAATGAACTAGGGCTTAGTGGGTTACCTGTGGTTTTACTACTTGTTGACAGAATCTTAGKGCTCTTTCAAGGACAGGCAGCTGTGTTTCACCAGGAGTAACAGGACTTTCAGGCTAACATACGCGATATCACTGTTAGTAAACTTCTGTCCAAATTAAATAAAAAATACAAAAAAACAACAATACCATGCTTACCACTTTGGCTCGGTACATTTCAAAGGACTTTATTAAAAGGTTTTCTGACACCTGAACAAGAGCAATAAAGGGAAAGGAAAAATGAAAAAATGAATGAATGAAATGAATCAAATCCCAGTACGTTGTCCAAAGCCAATCTCTTATAAAGACTTTGTACGTAMGATAAATAGATAGAGCGGATTTCGTATGAGTGGGACACCGTTACCGCACGGTTACCGCACAGTTACCGGACCTGGCCTGCACAATTTTGGTGAACCAATGGGGCACTAGAATTTGGTCACAGTACGATTACGGTCACAGTACAGTACCGTCCGTTTCCCGCTCATACGAAATCCGCTCTAACACAGTGCAATATGGTGGGAACTAGCGGTAAACTAGTGTGAGCTGCGTCAGTGTTTCTAAAGAAACAGTTGTGTAAAAAGATAAATTTAACACCGTAAAAGAAGTATGTGAAATATGAAGTACGTGCAATATAGTTTGATCAATTATGTGACTATACCTTGGCAGTGTGATCGTACTTTTGACCGAGTTTCCAGCATTCATAGGTATCAAGGACGAGCTGCGATAGGCTGGAAGGATCAGACTAGAAACAAAGACACAGAGATAATAAGATTTTGAATACAAACAACAATTTCCATTATATTAGTGTAGTTACACAGCGGTGAACTAGAGTAAGCGGTTTACCTGTGGGGCCTGGGCCTCTGTA